TGGGCTCTAGAGCTCAGGCTCAGTAGTTGTGGCTCACGGGCTCTAGAGAGCAGGCTCAGTAGTTGTGGCACATGGGCTTAGTTGCTCCGCGGCCTGTGGGATCTTCCCGGACCAGGGATCGAACCCGTGTTCCCTGCATTGGCAGGCGGATTCATAACCACTGCGCCACCAGGGAAGCCTGCATATAATTCTTTTAAAGGGAGAGAGAAAAACATCAGATAAAGCTCAAGTTGCCTTTTTTTTAAAAATTTATTTATTTTTGGCTGCATTGGGTCTTAGTTACTGCACGCGGGCTTTTCTCTAATTATGGCGAGCAGGGTACTACTCTTTGTTGTGGCACGCAGGCTTCTCACTGAGGTGGCTTCTCTTGCTGTGGAGCACAGGCTCTAGGTGCATGGGCTTCAGTAGTTGTGGCTCGCGGGATCCAGAGCGCAGACTCAGTAGCTGTGGCACACGGGCCCGGTTGCTCCGCGGCATGTGGGATCTTCCCGGACCAGGGCTTGAACCCATGTACCCTGCATTGGCAGGCAGATTCTCAACCACGGCGCCACCAGGGAAGCCCTCAAGTTGCCTTTAACTACTCTTTCCTCTTGGTCAACCCCCACCCCCAACCTTATAGGACATTTAAAAAATACTTACAGAAAGTATGTGAAATCTTAAAAAAAATACTTTCTCATATAAACATGTCATATTTGCCTTGTAAAGGTATTGTTCTGCCTGTTCTGTGGAGAACAGGTTGGTGGGTAGGAGCAAGACTGAATATAGAGAGACAGGAGTTGACTCTTAGTCATTCCATTGAAAAATAAGTGATGGAGGTTGTGTTTAGAGTGATTGACAGTGGAGATAGAGAATAGTGGACAAGCTAGAAATCTAAGGATGTAGGATTGATAGGAATTAGTGATTGGTGGGATGCAATGAGTAAAGGAGAAAGCATTGTCAAGGATAACCCTCAGGTTTTTGGCATGAACAACTGAGATAATAGTGCTATTAACTGAGCTAGGGAAAGCTAGAGAAGGAGCAGAGTGGGGTAGTTCAAAGATTGATGTAGTGAATTGATTGTCTTTGTGAATCTAAATGACGTCAAGTGGATATTTGAGTGGACTGGTATAGAACTCAGAGAAAGTCTAAGTTGGAGAAACAAAATCACTAGTATAGGGATGGTAGTGGAAACTGTGAGTGGAGAATAGATCACTTTGGTGGGTGGGAAGAAGACTTTGCCCAAGGACTAAACTACTGAGGGGTTTGGTAGAGCGTTAAGCCTACAAAGTAGGCTGAGAAAGAGCAGCCAGAAGAATAGGGTGACCTGGAAGCCGAAGAAAGACAGTTTAAGGAGGAGAAAAGTGTGGTTAGGCATAGAATGCTGCTTATACATTCAGTAAGATGAAGGCCAGACTTTTGTCTGTTGGATTTAGAGATATGGGAGTCATCAGTGACCCTGGTAAGAACTGTGTTACTGGTTTGATAGAAGCAGATATCAGGTGGGATTTGGCTGGAGAGGGAGTGTGAGAGGTAAGAAAATAGAGGAAGGGAGGTTAGACAACTCTCTTAGTAAGGTTGGCTGTGAAAGAAGAGAATAGTACCCGCAGGAGGAGATGTGAGGTTGAAGTAGTAGATAGAAGGAGGATTTTAAAAATTTTTTAATGAATGAGTGAATGAATGAATGGATGGTCTAGATGAATGTGAGAGGTTGATGAGTGCCAAGGAATAATCAATAATGTAAGGTTCTAGGGAGATGAGGGGATGAGTTGTACTAACATATACATGTACGCATATATACATATACACAGAAGGGGATTGCCTTTAGATTGGAGGGAAGAACAGCATGGGAGGAAATGCTGTTCTAATAGGATAAATGCTATCTTGTATATTTCATACTTGAATGTAAATTTACTGTGAACATTAAATCAGAGGGTTGAGAGACTTTATCTCAAGGATGCAACTCCCATTTGATAGTTTTATCTTTTCTACTGCCAACTACATTTGACTACCTCTACCAGGAACATCCCACTTTTCCCCCGATCAAAAACAATATATGCAGTAAATAATCTGATTGTTTGGGAAGATTAATCTGTACTTCATTTTTATTCCGTTGTAGGGAGTTTTGTCAGAGCTTGTATTTCTATTTCCTGTGATTTTTTTTTTCTTGTGTTTTATGAATTACAACAAAATTCCACTATGGGGGGAAATTCTAATAGAATTCACTGACTAAATTTGACCCAAATAGTAGTTGGTGTCCTGAGCAGAAAAAAGTACAACTCCTTTTTTCTTCAGAAGACTTTTCAGTAGATTTTATGTTAGAATGGAGTTTTGAATAGGTAATAACTTATACGGGATACAGAATTCAAGAGGTACAAAACTATATACAGTAAAAAGTCTTTGACTCCTGTTCCTTCATTCACTCTCTTTCCTTGCCAAGGCAGCTGGTGTTACCATTTTCTTAAGTATCCTCCTAGAGATTTCTGTGCATCTATAGACAAACTCATATATAATTTTGTTCTTTATTTACACAAATGGTATAATGTATCTTTCTTGTTCATTTAACATTATGTGTTGGAAATTGCTCCATATTAGTATATGGAGAACCTTTTCATTCTTTTTTGCCACATAGTATGGGCATACCATGATGAGCTAACTGATGTCCTATTTATGGTTGATGCCAGTGTTTGTGATTGATATGGGCATATTTAATTGGTTTTGACTGCAATACTGGTTTCTTTTTTAGGCAGCAGAAGTCACTGTAAATCTCAACACTTAAATTTAAGGAAGTTGAAAGATAATTGATTGATGTGTCATATTGAAAGACATTGATAATTGTCATGTTTTCTTAAAGGAAAAACAGACTAGATGCGTTTGTGCTACCCACATTATTTAGTTGAAGAAATGAGTTTTAAGGATCATTTTAACAAATTTTTCATTTGAGTACATTTCTCAGATATTTCAGCTTTAAGAAAAATTTTATTCCAGAATATAACTTCATTCTCTACAAAAGAATCAACTCTTATGTTTATTCAGTTAGAAAATGTTTTATTCCTCATACCTGGGGGTATTGCATATCTATGAATATTTTATTTCCTGTTTTTTTTTTTTTGCCAACATGCTTTATTTAAGACACTGGCAGTTTGTTGGTTTAACTTTTACTCTGTTGGCTTTCAGTGGTGTTGCATTCCTTTTGGAATGGTGTTTGGAATGACGTTTATGCTTATTTTCTTTCAGCTCAAAAATTAGTAATGGTACAAATACGCTTATGAAATAGACTACACATGGGATTAGGTTTTTTTTCTCCCTTAATTTTATTTATTTATTTGTTTATTTATTTATTTATTTATTGCTGCTTGGGTCTTCATTGCTGCTCGCCGGCTTTCTCTAGTTGCGGCGATTGGGGGCTACTCTTCGTTGTGGTGCACAGGCTTCTCACTGCGATGGCTTCTCTTGTTGCGGAGCACGGGCTCTAGGTGCACAGGCTTCAGTAGTTGTGGCTCGCGGGCTCTAGAGCGCAGGCTCAGTAGTTGTGGCACACGGGCTTAGTTGCTCCGCGGCATGTGGGATCTTTCCGGACCAGGGCTCGAACCCGTGTCCCCTGCATTGGCAGGCGGATTCTTAACCACTGAGCCACCAGGGAAGCTCCATGAGATTGTTTTTAACTTACAAATGTTTCCAGTGGCCATGAATGTTCTGGTTTTCATGAATGTGTTAAGGAAAATTCATCAGAATGCCTGTTTTATCAGCAGCTGAGAACAGGACCTGAAAAAAACCTCAGATATATAGAACATTTATGTTTACAGTAAGCAAAAAAGTAAGCTTGTCATGTTAGATCAATAAATAACTCCATTTTTCAGATATCTTCTAGTTGCTGTCTACCATATAGTGAACTATCAAGTAACTTGATGGAATGAAGTGACGGAGATGTCTTATTGTGCCTCACTGACATACCATCTAGCTTAATGTTTGTGTCTGTCTGTGACTTATGGCACATGATCATTGCCTTCTTTAACATCAGTTGTTCAGGGTGAGGTATTTACTTGCTTTGCACATTGTTAGCATCCTCTTAAAAAACCACTAGTTAATGAAGTTTGCACTGTATAGGTCACAACTCTTGTGGCTAAAGATTGTGTCCTGTTTCTCTGTGATTAAGTGGAGTTGTAGCACACAGTGGTGGAAAGATATTAGGTTCTAAAGTTAGCATAGGAGGTGGAGAATGTGTGTAGGGGGTTTTCTTTTAACCCCCTTAAGTCATTCATAGAATAGAGAGTTTTAGGTTTTTTGGGTTCACAAAGTAGTTAATCTGTATTTAGTGGCTATTGTTTATGAAACAAAACATATGTTTAAACATTAGACTCATCATATTCAGCATGAGGAGAGGTTTGTGGGAACTAGGAAGAACTGAGGAAACAGCAGATTCAGGTTTTTCATCTTAATGCCCCTCTAGAGCAACTCCTGTTGAGAGGAATGACAACTTTGATGCATGTAATTACTTTTGTTGCCCACTTGCCAAATGCACTTAATTGATGGTTTTTTTTCCCTTTAACATAAGTGTACATTTGATGTCACTCCACTGTAACTCACTCCCTTGCTTCCTTTCTTTGAGGATTTGAATGTAAAAGTAATCATTCCAGTTCACTTGTTGTAGACCAGTTTTTTTGGAACATTCCTTTTCATTTAAAGTTTACATACTTGCTAACTATATCAAAGCTTTGAGGATCCTTTTCTTGAACAGTTTAAATAAAGTTTTAAAGTTGAAAATCCTTGTTTGGTTGCTTGCTGGTCTTGCAAGTTCAGTAATAGAAGATTAATATTGTGCCATTTTTAGTAGCTGTGTATGCCAGTATTTTGGTCATATTAAGTCCTTTGAATTTGACTGTTGTTCAAGCAAATAATAGATACATGTATTTTAAAGGCCTATATGATGGTAACTTTTGCTGCCCACTTAGAAAGGTAGGAATGTTGTGTTGATTAAATAATCTGCCATTTCCGTTTATTGATTTTTGTGTGTTTTTGTACAGGTTGCTTTCCCGTTGCATCTTTGACATAGTTTCCTAGACTCTGCTCCATGATTTAACTTGAAAGTCTGAAATGAAGATGGAGGAGGCAGTGGGAAAAGTTGAAGAACTCATTGAGTCTGAAGTCCCACCAAAAACATCTGAACAAGAGACAGCTAAGGAGGAAGATGGATCTGTAGAACTGGAATCTCAAGTTCCGAAAGATGGTGTGGTGGATTCTACAGTTCTTTCTTCAATGCCCTGCTTGTTGATGGAACTGAGAAGGGACTCTTCTGAGTCTCAGTTGGCATCCACGGAAAGTGACAAGCCGACAACTGGTCGAGTTTATGAGAGTGACTCCTCTAACCACTGCATGCTTTCCCCTTCCTCTAGTGGTCACCTGGCCGATTCAGATACACTGTCTTCTGCAGAGGAGAATGAACCCTCCCAGGCAGAAACAGCGGTAGAAGGAGACCCTTCCGGAGTGTCTGGTGCCACAGTTGGGCGCAAGTCTCGCCGGTCCCGATCTGAAAGTGAAACATCCACCATGGCTGCCAAGAAAAACCGGCAATCCAGTGATAAACAGAATGGCCGAGTCGCCAAGGTTAAAGGTCATCGGAGCCAAAAGCACAAGGAGAGAATCAGGCTACTGAGGCAGAAACGGGAGGCTGCTGCACGAAAGAAATATAACTTGTTGCAGGACAGTAGTACCAGTGATAGTGACCTGACTTGTGACTCAAGCACGAGCTCATCAGATGATGATGAAGAAGTTTCAGGGAGCAGCAAGACAATCACTGCAGAGATACCAGGTAGAGGATGTTTTTTAAACTGACTGTAGAGCACCTGATGGCATTTCTCAGCTCTCAGGCTCAGTTAGATGAGTGACACTTGAAAAAATCCAGGAGACCTGCAGCTCTGTGTAAATTTGAAGACTGCAGTGTATTAACAAGACATGGCCAATTTAAAAACCTGTTCTGAGGTTTCCAGTGCACTTTAGCACAACAGCCAAAAAAAATACTTAATGATCGGGACAGGATTATTTTTAAGTAATGGAATTTCTCACAAGTCTCTTTCTCTGTAACACATTACCTGAATTCCCATCATTGCCTTTCTAGCACTACTTAGATTTAATACTCACTGTTCAGCATTATTACTAAGTACGTTTTCCTCAGGAATAGGCACCTTGCTTTATTATATAGCCACTGCACTCGAGCTTATGGTGTCTGAAATAACATGTTCTACCTTTCGTTAAAGGTTTCTAATAACTATTCCTTCTAAAACAGTAGTTTTATGTGTCCCCCCCATTCAGTGCATGTTTAGCTAGTTGTCACTTGCATTGAAAGGAATGTTTTTTGCAAAATTTCCCCCTTAACGCCCCCAAGTTTAAAAAGTACAGAAAAATCTGCTGTTCCAGCTCTTATTGGTATAAGAGTCTGTAATTTATTACATGTTTGACACATCTGCTTTCTCCATATTACTACGTCTGGTACTGTGTATGTACTACAAAGGCAGTCTTGAGATTTCATAGTGGAAGAAAGGTGAGGTCTGAATGGTTCTTGGGTGAATTCTCATTATTGAAGAGACTCGATTAGGAACATTCTGTAAAGTACATGGCATTTAATAGATCATGACAGCATTATTTATTGCTACGTTAAAGGGGGAAGTTTTGGTTTTCAAAGTTTTATGGGTGACTGTTCTTTCCCCCTAGTTTTCTGAAATGTTTCTGTTTCTATACGTCAGCATATTGCTGCTATACAAAGAATATTTCAAGATAAATCATATTGGTTAATTAAACCTATAGCTAACCAAACTTACAGAAACTCAGTAATAAGAATGATTTTATAGGTGTTCAACTTAAAATAAAAGCATCATCCATATAGTGTATTAAATATGAGTTTTTAACCATCATTGGAAATGCTTACTGTTTTAATATCTATTGAATTCCTTTGGTAGTTCCTTATGTTAAAATTACTGGGGGAGGGGATTTAATTGAAGCTCATCAGATGACTGCATGAGAGAAGCAAACTTTGGGGTTGTTCTAAGGCAGGTTCTAGGTGTATTTCAGATTTACATTTAATATTTTAAAGAAAGCTATATTAACACCTATACAATTGTTTATGCATTCTTATGTCCTGTTCTAAGCTATTAATCAGGATCATGATGGATCTCTTGATATAGTGCTTACTTAATTCCACTCACTAAATAGATTTTTATGTAACTGCTCAATACTTTGTCTTTTTATGGAAAGGGAGAAGGTGGGTGAACAAAGTGCTCTTTGAAGATAGACCCCATTGTAGAGGTGGCATGAAAAATATCTTCGTGGGCATTCTCCCTATTTGGCTTAAATAGGTTAGGTGTGCTTTGTTCATATTTTCCAAACCTCTTTGCTAATTGACTACCTTGACCAGTGTCTAAAACTTCTAAAACATCAGTCTTCTGTTTCTTGTCTATTCTGAATTGTATACTAACCAAAACACCAAATTATCTGAATCTGTAATTTAGTTTCTGTTGTGCACACCACTTAATAAGTTGGTGGATTTTGAAAATATGAAGAGTTTTCTAAGGTAATCATGGAGAATCAAATGGGAGGTAAGCTGTAGGGCCACTGTATATGACTGCCTAGGCTGTGCACCACAGAGTTACAGAAGGCGCTGTACACATAAGCAGCTGTGAATGGTCTTTCCTGGAATTATGCAAAGCAAAGGTAGAACATCCTAAGTTTAAATATTAGGAAGTTCATTTCAATTATCCACATTGTTACGCCCGAAAAATTTTGACATTTTTCATTGCTGATGTCATAATTATGTATACCTCAGTTTCTTGAATCAGATTATAACTTTGGGGCAGGGGGGATACACTCTACCTTATAGCAAGGCAGTTGTTGAAAAGTTGTATAGATTGTAAAGATAGGATAAATTGTGAACTGACTTATAAGATGAGTGCAACACCATGGACATTCAGGTGAACTTAAACTGGATGTACCTAACAGCAGATCTCTTGGAATTTGAAATTTGAATCCAGCTGTTTATACAGAATGGAAACCAAGAGGAAAAGTAAAAACTGAGATTCTTGCTATATGCTTTCATCAAGGTACAACTAATTTAGTAATTCAGAATTGCTGTATTTATAAACTTTTTTTGGCAGCAGCTTAGACATTGAAGGAATTATGCTAAATATTCACTTATGCCAAACAGTTGAACAATTAATGCATTTTCTTTTAAAGAGTGGAAATAATTAATGCTGCAGACTTATATAGTGCATGGTGATGATTAATAATTGAGTTTGATATTTGGACAGTAGATGTTTATGAAGTGGTTTTGTTGTTGTTGCTTTAGTTAACAGTTAACTGACAGGCAGCTTAGTATCCACACTAGATCATTCTTTCCTTGAAGTTTTTGAAACTATATTGCTCTTTTAAGAATCTGGAGGTATCATATCAAGATAATTCTGGCACTTCTTTCATTTGGGGGACTTAGAGATGAGCAAAAATAGAGTATTTTGTAGTGCATATTAATGTGAAAATACTATGTGGTAGTCTTGAGTATTCAAGGCTTTTGTTGAGTGTCTCATTTATAGGTGATATTTTTGTATTATTAATCTTTGTACTTTATTATTAGAGCATTATTTCTGCGGGGGTTGGGGGGGTCAGTTTTTCTGTAAAATCACTTTGAGACTAGAGCTGTAAAGTCTGCTCTTGCAGGGATTTTTTTTTTTTTTTTTTGGCCATGACACACGGCTTGTGGGATCTTGGTTCCCCGACCAGGGATTGAACCTGGGCCCTCAGCAGTGAAAACTCAGAGCCTTAACAATTGGACTGCCAGGGAATTCCCTGCAGGGAATTTTGATTTTAGTGAATGTGAATAAGTCTGTGACATCAGACTTCAATTCAAAAATTCTCCGAACAGACCAGCTTACATGCATCATTGTAGGTGGGCAGCAGGGAAGAGTTTTTCCAGTGACTGTTGTTTTTCATAATATTTAGTATAGAATAAACCTCAGGGTAGCTTCATCTTGTCTTGGCTATAATGACCTGCTTTTGTGTGGTTTAATAGTCCACCATGCAAGTGCCCACTCAGACTGAGGTTCCAAAAATAGTATCCACCTTGGTAGGTAAGGGTCAGTTGTCTTGGCTGTTTTGCATTTTAGAAAATCTAATCGGTCTTTGTTGGAGAATGTCAGGGAGGCTGTTGAGGACACCTGTTTAAGATCATCTGAATCCTCAATCCATGTGGCCAGGCGCAGCTCAGTCCTACTGAAGCTAGGATCTCAGCACTCACTACCCACCACACACAATTATACAGTGAAATTCCTCATGATAAGCTATCATTTTACCTTACAGTTTTTCTGAGGTAGAGACTTATTACGCTTGATCAATTAACTCTTACTTGGAAATGAAAAAAATTTCTTTAGTAAATCCTTTGTAGGAAATTTTGAAAATAGAAAAATGTGATTATAAGATTAAAATCCTGCTTTCGTTAACATTTAAGTATATTGCCTTCCATAATATGTAACAAAATTTATCATACTATGTATACTTCTTTCTTTCCCTCTAACATTGCATTTTGAGCCTTTAACCAAAACACAATTGTCTCCCTAAAACCATGTATGGATTTTGAATAATTTAGCTAACTATAAAATAACTTCCCTACTCCTGGCCCTTTGGGCTGTTCTTAGTTTTTGCTATTATGAGGAAGGGTATGAACACTTGAAGGCTCTTGACACATACTGCCAAACTACTTTTTAATACTTTATTAAGTTTATTCCATCCAGGAGCTTGAGTATTTGTTGCATTATATTCTTTCTATTGAGTGTTTATAAAAATGTTGCTGGTTTGATGGATGAACTGTATCTTTAATTTGCATTTCTTTGATTACTAATGAAGTTGAAAAATCATATTGGCCATTTGTATTCTTTTGGTAAACAGTCTATTCATGTTCTTTGCACATTTTCCTCTTGCTACACTTGTTTTTTTATTTTAATTGATTTGTGAGGATTCTTAACCTACTGGGGATTGAATTACTTGAAAAATATTATTATTAATTTAAGCAGTAGCAACTCATGGTAGAAGATAAGACCCCCAAACCCATGTTAGGAATTCCATGACCTTTTTCCTATATTGAATATGAAGTGACTAAAAGCCCCATGTCCCCAGTTTAAGCCTCTGTAATCTGATTGTATTTTGGTAGCTGTTTAGGAGACTCACTAAATACATTGATAACAAGACACCGAGACTGAGTAATCAGTTGAAGACTGCCTGAAAAGTGATTAGTAAATGCAAACAAAGCAGGTAATATCTGTGCAGTTTTCAGTCTGGCTATATGTTAGAATCACTTGTTGGGGGTTGGGAGCATTTAAAACTTATGATGCCCAGACCCCACTGCAGACGAATTAAATCAGAATCTCTGGATCTGACTCAGGCATCAGCATTTTTCTCCCAGCTTTTTTGAGATACAGTTGACATATAACATTGTGTAAGTTTAAGTAAGGTATACAACGTGTTGATTTGATAAATGTATATACTGCGAAATGATTAGCACAGTAGGGTTAGTTAACACGCCTCTCACTTCACGTAGTTATAATTTGTGTGTTGGGAAGTTTTAAGATCTGCTCTCTTAGCAACTCTCAAATATACAATACAGTATTGTTAACTATAGCCACCATGCTGTATTACATCCCCAGAACTTACTCATCTTATAACTGGAAGTTTGTCCTATTTGATCACCTTCACTCATCCTTGCTGCACCCCGTACTCTCCACCAAACTACTCTGTTTTTTTGAATTTGTTTTTTTTAAGATTCCACATGCAAGT